CCCAGCTGGCTTTCATGGCTAAGGCGAGAACTAGAACTCCCAGTCTCATGATGATTGGCCCAAAGTCACCCAGCCAGCTCTCGTGTCTAAGGCGCGACTGAAATTAACAGTCTCCCATTTTGTAGCCTGGTGCCTTAACTAGACCCAACTACCCCCGAAACCAGAACCCCAAAGATGGAAGAGTCACTTACCATCTGAGACGGCACCTGAAAGACGAACGTGGGCACTTTATAAGCCAGCAGGTCACCCCGTGGCACCCCGCTATAGCCTCCCGCCACAAGGAGCACATTTCCATTCATCACGGTGGCCACGTGGGAATACCGGCCACGCGCCTGGGCCAAAGCCTTGGATTCGTGCTCTGAGGGAGAGACGAATACAACAAATTGGTCTGTACTTCTGCTACGTGAGTTTTCCAAGAAAGTGTACAATGAGTGCTTTCCTCGTATTTACAGACAGTGAAATCAAGGTGTTTTTTTTTTGTTTTCTTCAAAAAAAAAAAAAAAGAATTAATGGAAATAAACTGAGCATTGGAAGGGTCATGCCCCTGTTAGAGTCTGAATCCGAGGAGGAAGACACACAGTTGACAGGGAGTGTGGCTCCGTTGGATGTGGAGGAAACTGGAGAAGGGCAAAGTCCGGCTGGGCAGAGCAGGAGAAAGGTAGAATAAGGGAGAGGTAAAACAAGGGAGAGGTAGTCCAGAGGAAGACCCGGGCCCACCCCATCTTCATCCTAGGGCACGCAGGGAGGAAGGGAGAAGAGAGCAAGAGAGCTTACGGGGGAGGAAAGGGTCCCGATTCCCTTCATTAGCCACACCTGGGAATGAAAGTTTAAAAGAACTGAATGCTGTGGCAGCTGCTGGGAGCAAATGTGACTTTATCCCGTGTTGTCTTTTTGCTTATCTGTGTTCCTGGCATCTTCCCAACCGTGTGAGTTTTGCTGTATCTTCACGCCTGGAATTCTTGTTCCTGCCCTGCCAAACTAATTACCTCAGTTTGGCTTGATTGGTTTTATAGTTACAGTTTGTGTTGACCATGTTTTGGACTTGATTCTCTGCAGCCAAAGGCTGTTCGTGGGAGAGTTTTTCTCCAGCTCAAAAGGTAACCAGGACATTGGGGGCAAAGTTGGAGCTAATAAAAGGGACTCTTATTGATTATCTGACTGTGTTGCCTTTGTGCCAGGCTCCGGGTCATCACAGGAAGTTTGTTTAATTTTACATCTGCAACCACCCACCTGAGCAAAAAACTCTGGACGGCTCTATGTATTTGTTGATTCGATAAATAGATTTCAGAAACGCTTTTGAAACATGGATTGCTCCATGTTTTGACACAAAACACTTTGGGGGACCAGGATCCCCCGCTCCCCACTATTACCTTGAGTGATGAGAGGTGCCAGCTCATGACTAGAGACCCACTGGTGGCAGCCCAAGTGATAGAAAAAGATTTCGTCCTCGTAACATTTCTCTTCATGGTAATGGATGTGAACGTTGCCCCCTGGAAGAGAGGCAAAGCAGAGGAAGCAGGAGGAGGATAGGAAAAGGGGAAGGAAAGTGGAACCCCAAAACATCTTTCACATTTTAAATTCTTCTTCGTTCAGGTAGTCCTCGGCTTACGACAATTAAGGCCAAATTTCTGTTGCTTGAGACTATTTTGTCTATTCTACCGCCCTTCTTGCCACTATTCATGCCGAAAATGCATCCTAGATGGAAGCAAAGGAAGAACAAACGGGGATGGTTTCTAAAATACTAATTCTTGTTTTTCTCCCTTGAGAAAAGTTCACCAGGTTTATTTTTAGCCTATCTTTATTCATGTGTTTTTTTTATAAAAACTGTAACTCGGGGCAGCAAACATGTGTGATATTCTTTCTTCCTCTTATTTTCCCCTCAAAAAACAACCCTGTGAGGTGAATTGGCCTGAGAGAAAGTGACTGGCCCGAGGCCTCTACAAAAAATATATATTAAAAATAAAGAGTTGCTATTTATATACATTAACCATGTTACAGACAGTCCTCAACATCTGATCACAATTGGGAGCAAAATTCATGGGGCTAAGTGAAAAATTTGCCAACTGAGTTATGCTTCATTTTACGACTTTTCTTGCCACGTTTGTTAAGTGAATCACTGCAGTTGTTAAGTGAATCTGGCTTCCCCGTTGACTTTGCTCGTCAGGGGGATCACACAACCCCAGGGACACTGTGGCCGTCGTAAATATGAGTCAGTTGCCGAGCGTCTGGAGTTTTGATCACGTAATGGTGGGGATGTCGCAACAGTCTTAAGTGTGGAAAAACGGTCAGAGGTCACTGTTTTCAGGAAGCAAATCGAGGACTAGCTTTACCAGTAGTAACCATTTCAAGAATTCTCACTTCCCCAGTTATCCGTAACGTTTGAGTAGCGTTGCTGCACACTCACCATATACCACCATGTAGTTGCCGATGACGGTGGCGGAGTGGAAGGCCCTTTCCCGAGGGCCCCGGTGTGAATCTTTGGCCCTCAACGTGCTCCAGTAACGCAGGTCCACATGGAAGAGGTCCGTGGTGTTCACTCGCACGCTGAACCTGCAGGGATGGGAGAAGTCGACGTGGTCCTTCTTTTTGCAATCACTCCTAGGTCCTATTACAATCCTACCTCGGGATTCGATGGTTCCAAAACGCATCCAATTCGGTACTCGATGCGTTTTGAAGCAAAAAAATCTTCTCCCACGACTCATTTCCTAACACCGTGTTACCCTTGGCGCCACCAGCTGCCGCAAATATACCGCAATGAAGGGAGGTGCAAATGTGAGTTCTGCTTCTTCCAGCCACCGATGCTTCAGCCCACTTGCGCCACATTCCACACACACACACACCCCACACACACACAACAGCAACGTTATCTCATTCTAGCCACCACGGGCCGTCCCATATTTCAGAGCTGTAGTCATCCCGATGGAGCAGCTGCTCCGGGGTGACCAAAGGGCCACTCCTGTGACTATTGTAGCTCTGGCATATGGGACCAACTTTCCCGCGGACATCAGCAAGCCGCCCCGGGGCGGATTTCCCTCCCCCGCCGTTGATCTCGCTTCCAGTTCCAGCTCACATGACTCTCTACTCAAGTCTCAAGGTTTGCGCTCGGCGGAAGGGTGGGGGCCAGCAGGTGGGCGGGCCATGTGGGCGGAGCAGCATTGTTTTCCCGTGCGGCCCGGATTAATTGCTTCCGGGAAGGGGGGGGGCATTTCTCTGCGGACCACCAAAATTTTGCTGCGGCCTACCGGTTGGTCTAGAGAAAAGAAGGACTAGGGGTGACATGATAGCAGTATTTCAGTACTTGAGGGGCCGCCACAAAGAAGAGGGGGGGGTCAACCTATTTTCCAAAGCACCAGAAGGCAAGAAAAATAAACAACAGTGGATGGAAACTAATCAAGGGGAGAAGCAACCTGGAATTAATGAGAAACTTTCTAACAGGGAGAACAATTAACCAGTGGAACAGCTTGCCACCGGAAATTGTGGGTGCTTTAAAACTGGAGATTTTTAAGAAGAAACTGGACAAGCCACTTGTCTCCAATTGTATAGGGTCTCTTGCTTGAGCAGGGGGTCGGACTAGAAGACCTCCAAGGTCCCTTCCAGCTCTATTCTGATTGATTGATCTTTCTCCCAGTGGTCGACATGCAAGGTAGTCCTTGCCGGCATTGTGACTTGCTACTCCTTAAGGCCGAAATAAAGGGTTGCGTAGTATGTCACAGCGTTTGCTCAGTACTTGTTTTGAGTACTCGTCCCACCTACTGGAACGAATCGCAGACAAGTACCGAGATACCACTATAAAAGATACAGTGGGAGGGTTTCCCCCCCACACACACACAATTGCCCACCTACCGAGCAGTGGAGGGCCGGTGCCCACCATAAACCAAGAGAGTACGGGAAGCAGGGTGGAAGACCATGGAGTGACCAGCTGCTGCAGGCGCTTTCCCTCCTGAAGGAATCACCAGCTCCCAGGTCCACCGTTTCAGGTGGAAGCGGTACATGTGGGAGGAGAAGACATCCACCCCGGTGCGTCCTGCAGGAGTGGATTAGGAGGCGTGAGGCTCAATCCTCCAAGGTTGACTCAGCCCTCCACCCTTCCAAGGTTGGTCAAATGAGGATCCAGTTTGTTGGGGTGCAATAGGCTGACTCTGTAAACACCTTAGAGAGGGCTGCAAAACACTATGAAGCAGTATATAAGTCTAAGTGCTCTTGCTATCTCTCTCTCTCTCTCTCTTTCTATTTCTTTCTGTCTCTTTCTCCATGTATATCTGTCTAGTCTGTCTGTCTGTCTATCTGTCCATCTATCTAATTTATCTATCACCTATCACTCATCCATCTATCCATCCATCCACCCATCATCCATCAATATCTATCTATCCATCCATCCATCCATCCATCCATCCATCCATCAATCAATCTAATTATCATCCATCTATCTAATCTATCACCTATCATCTCATCCATCCATCTATCCATCCATCATCCATCCATCTATTTATCATCTATCTACCTATTCTATCATCTATCAATTAATCTAATCTATCATCTATCAATCAAACAAATCTATCATCCATCATCTATCTATCTATCTATCTATCCATCCATCCATCTAATTATCATCCATCTATCTAATCTATCACCTATCATCTCATCCATCCATCTATCCATCCATCATCCATCCATCTATTTATCATCTATCTACCTATTCTATCATCTATCAATTAATCTAATCTATCATTTATCAATCAAACAAATCTATCATCTATCTATCTATCTATCTATCTATCTATCTATCTATCTATCTATCTATCCATCCATCCATCCATCCATCCATCCATCCATCCATCCATCCATCCATCCATCCATCTATCTATCTATCTATCTATCTATCTATCTATCTATCTATCTATCTATCTATCTAATCTATCTATCATCCATCCATCAATTCAATATTGCAGACTAATTCTGGCCACAGCCTGGAATTCGATCCTTACCAGCTCAAGGTTGACTCAGCCTTCCAACCTTCCAAGGTCAGTAAATATGAGGACATAATTTGTTGGGGGGGTGGGGGGGGCAATATGCTGTCTCTCTCGAGGGGGCTGTAAAGCTCTGTGAAGCGGTACATAAGTCTAAGTGCTATTGCTATGATGGGGCATTTCCCCCGGAAGAAGGACACCTGGACTACACAGGTGGGGTTTCGACTCACCTCCAAATACATACAGCCATTCATCGACCACCGCAGATGCATGGCCGGCCAACTCAGGAGGAATCGTCGTGTTCAGGGGCACCAGCTCCTGCCAGTAGCCCTCCTGGGGGAGATACATCCAGACATCGTTGGCCAGAGACCCAGTGGCCAGCTCTCCACCAAACAGAATGAGGGAGCCCTCCCAGGCCACGGCTGTGTGGGAGTGACGAGCAGTCTGGAAATAAAAAGATGAAAAGGTGATCAGTTTATTTTTAGATTCTTTTTTTTTTAAAAAAAACCCACCTTTATTATTGTTACTGAGGCAGCAAGCATACTTTATACACCTCCCTCCTCTTATTTTTTCCCATAACAATAACCCTGTGAGTTGTGATGAGGAAAATTACCCAATTAATTTTCACGTCTAAGGCGGGACTAGAATTCACAGGCTCCTGGTTGACTGGCCCAGCCTGCTTTCATGGCTAAGGCGAGATCTAGAACTCCCAGTCTCCTGGTGATTGGCCCAAAGTCACCCAGCTAGTTTTCATAGCTAAGGCGAGAACTAGAACTCTCCGTCTCCTGATGATTGGCCCAAAGTCACCCAGCCAGCTCTCGTGTCTAAGGCGCGACTGGAATTCACACATGCCTAAGGCAAAACTAGAATTCACCTTCTCCCAATGATTTCACCCAGCCAGTTTTTCATGCTTAAGGCAGGACTAGAAGTCATAGGCTCTTGGCTATTGGCCCAAGTGGCTTTCATACCTAAGGCAGAACTAGAACTCATGCTCTTTTTGTGATTAGTCTAAAGTCTCCAGACTGGCTTTCATGCCTAAGGCGAGACTAGAACTCACAGGTACCTGGTATCTTGGTGGCACAAAGTTTTTTAAATTCACCCGCAATTTTTGGGGTGAATGCCTAAGTATCTCAGACATAACCTGGGCCTTTTCTTCCTTTCCATAATGTTCAAAGTTCTTTTTTCAAGACGAGGGGAAATCATAAGGCACTTACTGGGGAAGGGCTAAGCACCCTCTGATGCCAAGTATTGGTGGTGAAGTTATAGAAGACAAGGTCCCCCAAAGCAGTATTTAGATCCAAGCCTAAAGGGGAAGAAAACAGAAAAGTCATGAGATTTAGGAATAGGAGGGGAAGCATACAACTAACAGATTATGTCAGGACAAGATCAAAGAAGCATGAAGTATGCTGATCTCAGAAATGAATCTGTAACGCTCCTTGAGGGTCAGTAAAGAATTGTGGAAATGTGGCAATGAAATAGAGGAGTTATAATGTATTTTTTAAAAATCCTAATTTGTTGATTCAAAAACAACCCCTTTAAACACTTTTGCAGGGATTTTGTGTTTCAATTATCGCTGCATAAGTATAACTTAATGATTATTCAGAAATGTATAAGGTATTCATAGCCTCAAACAAGCAGCTTTTTTAAGAGAAGAGAAGGCAAGTAAAGAATAGCTTTCTTCCCACCGCTCACAAAACAGATCACTTTCGTCCGATGATGAATCGCCCCGGTGAGATTTTGATCGCGCAGTCCGTGGGACAATGGGTTAGTAGAACATTGGGCCGTTGACATTAAATATCTTTTGAGACCTTCTGACAAGCAAACTCAATGGGGAAGCCAGATTCCCTTAACAACCATGTGACTAACTTAATGGCTGCGGTCATTCAGTTAACCCCTGTGACAAAAGGAAGCCTGTAAAATCAAGCAAAACTGACTTAACTGTCTTCTTTAAAAACAAACTTTTGGGAATCTATTGCGGTCGTAAACTGACGATCACCTGAAATCAGAAAAAAAAGCAATAAGAAGCGATGCTCCTCACCTCCAAAAATGTATAGTCCCCCAGTAGAAGGTAGGAAAGCACCAGCAGCTGCTGTTCGGGGCCAGAAACTGGAATCTCGGATGCTGACGTTGTACCACTTTCCAGCCCCTTGGTTGTCACTCAAGGCTAAATCACAGGCCTGACCCACAAATCCCAGTTCACACTGGCAATGTTGTGATACCTACAGGAGGAAGGAGGAAACGTTACTAGTGGCGTTCTTCCATCACAATGCAAACAAGGCGGGGCAGCTTCTCTTTCAAATTCTGACCATTGGGCTGATATCACTTTAAGACCCTGTAGTAAAGAAGAGGCCCTGTTGAGGCATATCTCTCTCTTGTGCTTCCATGCTGTAAATTGCTGTTTGTTTGAGGTCTGACTAAAGTAGGTGTATGTATATATTCTTTGTACCCTGTTTCCCCGAAAATAAGACCTTGTCTTATTTTTTTTTGCCACCCAAAAAGGCACCAGGTCTTATTTTCAAGGGATGTCATCCACTGACTAACCTCACTTGCGCACATCGTCCCCAGCCTCCTTTTCGCTGTTAGAGGCCTTCAGGAACTTCTTCTTCTGCAGCCGGCAAGGCTTTTCTGAAGGCCTCTGCAGGCAATAACAGAGCTCTGGATCGATCCAGAGCTTCATTATCAGCTCCAGAGGCCTTCAGGAAAGCCTTGCCAGCCTTGCTGGCTGCAGAAGAAATGGGCTGGCAAGGCAGGTGACGGGATGCGCAAGGCCTGGCTACAACTGTCCAAAGATAAGTAGTAGGGCGGCTCTACCCCTCCATCTCCACCCTAGCTTAATTTTTACCTGTCCATTCTGGAGTGGGCGGGATCTTAATTAGGGCTTATTTTGAGGGTAGGGATTTTATTAGGCACACGTGTAAAAATCAAACCTGAAATATTTTTATTAGGAATGGTACCCAAAGGTTACAGTAAAGAAAAACATATTTAATTATACGTGCATTAATAGCAGACAGAACTGTATTTGTTCAGAACTGGAAAAGTGATAAGATCCCAACAGAGGAAAAAGTAATTGAGAAAATATTTGAATGTGCAGAGATGTTAACATTGGTAATCAAAGAAAAAGAAGAAACTGAATATTATATGGTATGGGATTTATTTTATCAATGGTTGGAAAATAAAACAATAAAATGGACTAGATGAATATATAGAGCAATAAGTTAAGATTGTTAAAAATAATAGATGTATTAAATAATAGCTATAAGAAAATGTGATTATTGTTATATTGGCAAGAAAAGTATTAGTTATAATTGTAAGCACAAGATATAGGTACCCAGTCAACACACGGTTGAAATGAAATGGAATTATTGTAAAATATATTTTTTTTAAAATAAAAATAAAAATCAAGCTAGGATTTACTTTCAGGTTAGGTCG